CGGCCTGGCACTCTGCCTATCTTACCCATAAGAGTCATGTTGCACGACGCAACAGTTTCGTTCAAAGTTTGCCAAACGCACAACGGTAAGGAACAGGAGGAGAAGCGGAGGGCGGTCCGCCTCCCGCCACTCGGTGCGGATGAATCGCGGCTCCATGTTCGCGTCGGTGCCTTGCACCTCGCCGCAGGGTGGGGCCGCGCTGCGCTGCCGCCCGCGCGGTGGTGCGCGGACAGGGTCCTGGGCCTTTCCTCTTCCTCCACGCCCTGCGGGGGCGGGAGGGGGGAAGAGGGGAGAAAGGCATCCTCGTCGTCGTTTTGCCCCTGCTCCTCATCATCCTGCTCCTCCTCATCCTCCTGTGCCTCCTCCTCCTCCTCCTCCTCCTCCTCCGCCTCCTCCGCCTCCTCCTCCTGCTCCTGCTCCTTCCTCCTCCTCCTCCTCCCTCCTCTTCCTCCTCCTCCTCCTCCCCTCACTCCTCCTCCTCCTCACTCCTCTTCCTCCTCCTCCTACTCTCCTCCTCCCTCCTCCTTCCTCCCTACCTCTACGTCATCATCGTCTTCCTCCTTTCTCCTTCGTCTCCTCCTCCTCCTCCTCGTTCCTCCTCGTCCCCCAAAACCCTATTTTCCTCACGTCCTCATTATCCGCCATCTCCTCCTCCTCCTCCTCCTTCTTCTTCCTCCTACTCATCCACATTCTCCTCTCCTCCCTCCTCCTCCTCCTCCTTCCGATTGTTTTTTTTTTTTCCCTGTTTTTTTTTTTTTTTTTTTCCGCCTCTCCCCCTCTCTCCTCGTCCTCCTCCTCCCCCTACTCCCCCTCAGTCATTCATCACCCCCATCTCCATCACAACCAACAGCACTATAAACAACACCATCATCAAACACCACAATCATCATCACCACCACCACAACCATCAACACCATCATCACAAAGAGAGCGTGATCCACCGCCGCTTTACTGTGGAAAATTGCCGCCCTTTTCCTCCGGAACCCGGGGTTCCCCCCCGCCATCCGAAAATCCCCTCCTCCCTGCTGGGCCCCCCCCCCCCCCTTCCCCCAGCAAAACGCCCCCCCTCCCCTAACCCCTCCCCCCCCCCCCTCCCCCTCGAGGAAAAAAGGGGGGGGTTGGGTCACTACGTTCGAACCCCCCCCCTCGAAAACCGCGAGGGGGGTCATACTAACGGTTCGAACACCCTCCCTTCCCACCCCTTCACCGCCAGCAAACGACTCCCGGTCCCTACCACCGTCCTCGTCCTCACCACATCCCCCACTGTTGTTCCCAGCACCACTGTCCTCACCACCACTGTCCCCACTGGTTCCACCACCGCTCCACTGTCCCCACCAGTGCCACCACCACTGTCGCACTGTCCCCACTGTCCCCACCACTGTTCCCACCACGGCTCCACTCTCCCAACTTTCTCCACGGCCCCAACCACTGCCCGACTATCCCCACTGTCCCCACTGTCCCACTGACTCCTCCGCTGTGCCACTGAGCTGTCCCACTGTTCCCACTGTCCCCACTGTCCCCACCACTGTCCCCACTGTACCTCTGTCCCATTGTCCCACCGCCGTCCTCGCCACCGCCTTCACCACTGTCCCCACCACCACTGTACCCTCCACTGTCCTACTGTTTCCACCACATTCCCACTGTCCCCACACCACTGTCCCCACCACCACCGTCCCCACCACTGTCCCACTGTCCCCACTGTTCCCACCATTGTCCTCACCATTGTCCCCACCACTACCGTCCCCACCACTGTCCCACTGTCCCCACCACTGTCCCGCTGTCCCCTCACCACTGTCCCCACCACCACCGTCCCCACCACTGTCCGCACCCCCCCTCGGTTTTCGAGGGGGGGGGGGGGGGTCGAACTGGTAGTGACCCCCCCCGGTTTTCGAGTTCGAGGGGGGGGGGTCGAACCGGTAGTGACCCCCCCCTTTTCATGATGAACTGGGGGGGGGGAAGGGGTTCGAACCGGTAGTGACCCCCCCTGGTTTTCCGCCAGCAGCGGTAGAACACGCTCTTTCTCATCACAATCATCAGCCCCACCACCATCACCATCATCACCGCCATCACCAGCATCATCGTCGAAATCACCAACCCCATCAACATGACCATCATCATGGCATCATCATTCGTATCATCAACATAATCTACATCATCATACCCCTCCTCACCATAATGATCAATTGCATCGTGTTCGTCGCCGGGATTAGCACCACCATCAACGACAAAACGTCGTCATTGCCATCGCCATCCTCATAAACATCAGCAACATCGTCATCACCACCATCATCCGCATCCACCGCTTTACTTGCAGCATCAGCATCAACAACCGCATCGTCATCACCACCAACAACAGCAACATCCGCATCATCATCACCACCATCAGCCTCATCACCATTACCATAACCAGCGTCATCACTAGCATCATACCCATCCTCATAACCCACAACAACATCCACCTCATCAACATCATAAGCAAAATCACCATCTTCGCATCACCGTCATCATTACCAGCATCAGCATTACCGACATCATCATCATCATCATCATCATCATCATCATCATCATCATCATCATCATCATCGCCCTCATCGCCGTGCATCGCAATCGTCCGCAGCATGATCATCATCAACAGCGGCGTCGCTACCGTCATCTACATCGCCATGAGCATCCGCATCATCACCTTTAGCGTCATCATCCTCATCAGCAACACCATCGTCATCTTACTCAACAACAGCATCCCCATCATCAGCTGCATCATCATCATTACAATCCGCGAAGCCATCATCATCATCATCATCATCATCATCATCATCACCATCACAATCGTCATCACCCTCCCCATCGGAACCTGCACCGTAAGTTAAAGAAATATTGATCACCGCCATCATTACCATCGTTGTCGTCATCATCGCCACCATCATGATTATCTTATCCACCAGCACCATCATCACCACCATTGCCATCATCATCATTCCCAGCATCATCGGGAACGTTCTGCACATCATCACGTTTACCAACAGCATCACAATCTCAACCGTCGGCATCAGCATCATCATCGGCTGTCATCTTTATCATCAGCATTATCATTACTATTATCAACACCATCGCCGGCATATTTATCATCAGCAAATTCAGTGTCAATATGTTACCCCATCATGGACATGCTCAGCGTCGCCGTACTCGTCATGAGCATCATCAGCAAAACTAGACGGGCCACTGTCAACATTATCGTCACCATCCGCAACATGAACATCAACTATACCAGAACCGTCATCCGATCAGCAGCATCATCGCCATTGTCATGAGCATCAGCATACCCATCAACAGCGACCAAATCAACATCATAAAACGTAATCACCAATACCATCACCAACAGCAGCATCATCATCATCATCCACAGCATCACCATCATCATCATCATGAGCGTCGTCGCCGTCGTCATCAGCATCAGCACCAGCATCAACATCAGCGTCGTCGCAAGTATCATCACCAGCAGCATCATAACCATCATCATCATCATCATCATCCACAACAGAGCCCACATCATCAGCATCAGCCGCAACAGCATCATCAGTATCGTCATCATAATCGTCATCATTAACACCAACGCCCTGATCCTCAACATCGCCATCGCCCGCATCGTCAGCAACATGTGAAGCAACATCGCCAGCATCATCAGCATCAACATCAACGCCATCATCACCATCATCTTCCAAATCATCATCGCCTCATCACCATGATACCATCAACCCACCATCAACACCATCATAATCAATACCAGCATCCGCGTCACCATGCTTTGCAGCAGCAACGACATCACCAGCGGCAGCATCATCACTTCTTTAACAGCCAGCATCATCGCCAACCGTATCATCACCATGGGCATCACCACCATCATCAGCATCCTCAACATGATGAGTGTCATCATCATATCGGGCGGATGGATATCAGGGGTGACCAACAGAACGAGCGCGAGGCGAAGCGTGGCGCGCCGCGTCCGGCCAAAGAGACCGACCCGGACGGGGCCAGGCGCGTGGGCCGCAGCCCTCACATGTCGTTCCTCTGCACGAAATCCAATCAACATGCTGTCCAGTCTCCTTCGAAAGTGTACCATGATCAGTGGACACCATTCGATTCGAAGAAACTGTGCATACCAACTGACCAACGCCGCCTAGGTCTGCCTTGAGACCTCAGTGCGCATAGCGGATCCCATTCTGTAATAGGTCTTGGCCACGAATTCGGGGACGACTGCTGTATCCGCTGCGCCCATGCAAATGTCATCTTTCTCTGCGCAGCGATCCACGAACCATCGACCATATGTGATGATGGTTCTCTCGTGGATCGTTTGACCCAGGCCACCAACTGTTCACTAGTATCGCTCAACGGATCGCCTGTGCAAGCTCGTCTCCATCCCTTCTCCAAGATCATGCGCAACATCCGTGCTTGGCAGCGTAATAACTTCCCTTGCATTGGACTGGTCATTGCCCAAGTTGCTGCTCCGTAGAGTACCGTCGGCTTTCACCACAAGTGTCGAAAAGGTTCGACCGGTCGTGCAGGGAGTAACCCTTCTTAGTGAGCTCGCCTTTGTACAACATGAGATTCAGCATCAGCATCAGCATCAGCATCAGCATCATCAGCAGCAGCAGCATCAGCATCAGCATCAGCATCAGCATCAGCATCAGCATCATCATCATCATCATCATCATCATCATCATCATCATCATCATAATCATCGTCGTCGTCATCATCATCATCATCATCACCACCATCATCATCATCATCATTATCCTCATCATCATTATCATCGTCAACGTCATTATCACCATCCTCCTCATCATCATTATCAACATCAGCATCAGCATCAGCGTAATCACCATCACCATCATCATCATTATCAGCATCGTCATCATCATTATCAGCATCTGCATCATCATGATCATCATCATCATCATCATGATCATTATCATCATCAGCATCATCATCAGTATCATCATCGT